CAACACAAGCTGATGTTTTTTTGTTCAATCAGCATGGGCTTCATTCGTCCACCACTCTTTTCTTCTGCTTGCATTTTGGAAGTTGACAGCCCAACGCACGACTCATCTTCTGTACAATCACTCCATTAGGGATGGCCTGCGGACAAAGCCAAAAGCACACACGACCAATATATTCCTTGCAGCGGCTTGCATTCAAGCCAGCCTACAGCAGGGAGTTTGAAATGGAGCTAAAATACGCTTCATCCCATTGCACTCTCAGCCCTCGCCCTAAAATCCATGCATCCCATTTGCTTCCCCCTCTGGTTGTCTGTCTGTGTCCTGCTTTCCGGCTCTTTTTCCGTGAAGTGCGATTAGGCACTGTGAACCACTGACACTGAACGGAAGCCTGTCGGCTGCTCACCTTCCCACTTTCGTACTCGCTCACAACTGACGGCTTTTCGTTAATTGCCTGTGCCAGCTGAGCCTGCGTCATGCCTTTGTTCCTCCGTGCTTCTGCTAACGCGCGGGCTAGGTCCATGGAGACCCGGTCAACATGGTAGTCGCCTGTGTCTTCTTCCACCTTTCTGGCACTGCAGAAGGATACGCAGTATGACAGAGCAAGACGTGTTACAAAAGCAAATATCCAACCCGCCGCAGTCCCCCCGCCGCCATCAAATGCTCGCCATATCTAACAATGCATGCTCCATCACCGTTGCATATGCACTAAAGCCTGCCAAACTTGAATTCAACTTATCCACAAAACAAACAGCAAAGGAAACGCCCAAGAATGCTAGCAAGTAGCATGTATATGAACACCTAGACATACTTATGAAGCGATTGACAATGTTACGTAAAAAGGCAAAGATAACGGACGTGGAGGCAGACAAGCATGTAAAGAAGAAAGCAAGTCAGCTGAAACAAGTACTAGGAAACGCGCACGAGTAGAGAGAGGTGGATTCAGTGAGAGAAAAGAGCAAATAAGGCATATCAGGCAAGGAACAACGAAGATATGAGCAAACATGCGCGAGAGAAAGTTTCCCACAAGTTCCCAACGACGCTAGTTGGTCACTGACGCCAACTAACTGCTCACTTCGGGATTAAATTTGCCTTCGTCGTTTTATTTTGACCCCCCAAAACTGAACCAAACACACAATAAGCACACGATAAGTGAATAAATGAACGACACCACTTAAGTGCTGCACGAACCAAAGAGCAAATGAACAAGTATGCCTGCAAGTGCGTAATCAAGCTCTTGAGCTCTTTGTGTGAAAGCAGAGCAATATGCAAAGCAAGCAGCAACGCAAAGATGCAGAATTGTTGATGCAGGCNTCTTTGTGTGAAAGCAGAGCAATATGCAAAGCAAGCAGCAACGCAAAGATGCAGAATTGTTGATGCAGGCCCCAAAAAAAGCGCAATTGCATTCTGCGCACATTTCTTCTCTGTCTCGATGGTTTCTCCAGCCCTGCGAGCCTTGTTTATTTCTTGTTCCTTCACGACGCGTTTGCCCCCAGGGCTAGTTTTCTGTAACGTCACGGGTGTCCAATCTTGAAAGTTGCCTGACATTTTCCTGAAGCAGAGCGAGTGCAAGTCAACCAGGCGTAACCGGCAAGACGGCAGGGCGACCAACAAGGAGAGGAAAGACCGCAAAAAAGGAAATCCTTTAGCAAAGTGCTGGGACTAAAGATGATCGATGTTATCAAACAAGTTTTTAACTATCTTGTCAAGCAAGTTTTATTGGATCTCCAGTGTCAACAGGTCTGCTGAGGGGTTCACCGGTCGCATGCGCAGCCCCAGCAATCACAGCTTGCTGACCAGCTGCCTGGAGAACTCTGCAGAGTTGCTCACTGCTTGCTCACCAAGTTATCAATATTGATGCATATTCACTATACCAAGCGCAGCCAACTTTAACACCTGGGTGCTACAGCCGCACGAAGGGGCTCGGCTTGCTGTTTCGCCTCGCCACATGGATGCAATTGTATCAACTCGTGTACTTTGCTTAGACGTTGCATAGTGTCTTTTCGATTATTTTTAATTGAGTAACTGGGAATTTAGCGGAAAAGGCCGACGCTACCTACGGCGCGTAGCCAGCTGTCACTTGCGCAGGTGGGAAATATTTGACGCCGTGAAAACAGGCGACGGGGAACTGCAGGCCTCAGAAGCCATGGAAGCATCCTCAAAGTTCGTATTTCCTCCTTACTTCCCGATTGTGAGGAAAGGTACGTGGTAAATACAGACACCCGATTCCGGCAGCCCCTGCA